TAAGTGCTCGGCGTAATAAATGCGGTAGTTGAAAGTTAGTTACGTACCTCGTAGGGGTTCTATTTATAATTATCCTGGCGCAAATCTGTGACTTGGCCGAGCACACCGACACGTTCCGTTCAGATTGTGAATGATCGGTGGGCTCGGGTATTCGGCCTGGTTGTCCACGGACTCAAGTGTTCGGCCTAGTCAGCCACAAACTTGGGTGTTCGGGCTAGTCAGCTACCATGCGGTATACAACCCCCGCAGCGTCGAGGATGGGAAAGACGAAGGCGGTCTAATTATATAGGGTCGTGGTTCTCGGCATGGAATGACAGATTTTGCTTCCGACCATTAGTAGTAGTGTGCCTGATCCCAGTGTGGTCAGTTTTGCTGACCTCGGTGGTTGTACTAGGGCATGTTATGGTATTCGGCTACTGTGCCTTGCCGACCACTATAGCCGAGCCCTAAGGTTAAAAGGCCAATGACTATTAAATCTATGCGTAGATGACGCCTATGCCGAAACCTTAGCAGAATGGAGCCTGTGCCGAGCCATTGCCGAGTACGTGCTTAGTCGGACAAAGTCTACGCCGAGACCTCAACCGGATGAAGCCCATGCCGAGACCTAAGTGGTTGTAGCCTGCCATGTTGGCCTTGGCGGTTAAAAGCCCAACGTTTATTAAATTTGGACCGTTGGATGGTCCAGATCGAACGATTGTGGCTTCGAGGTGTCTTTTCACCTCCCCCCGTTTACCTTGCCTATAAATAGGGGGGTGCATGGGAAATTTACGCGCTGTAAATTTCCCGAGAGCTCTGAAACTCAAAGACTTCTCCGATCACACCGATCAAGGTAAATTTTGTATTCTTTATTTTTGGTAATAAATGGACAAAGGTTACTCCTCGGCTAGGAGCTGGACGTCGTCAGAGGCGCTGGTGCTTCGTCGGAGAGAGATGGGTCTAGCTCGAGTGAAGTGTCAAGATTGCCTCCTTTGCAATGCGAGGTGGTTTTCCCCTTGGATTTTGCCGAGTAGGAGGATAGCGGGGATGAAGTGGTTGAGGTGTCGCCACCGGTGACGTTAGTAGTGGCTTTGGCACGAGCTACTGAGGAGGATGCGAGGGGTCTCGGCCGGGTCGGTCACCATACGATATGCGTTGAGGCCGTTCACGCCGAAGCGGGTGGAGACGATTTGGAGTTTCTTGGCGATACCCGAGGCAAGGGCGTTGGTGGTCCGAGCACTCGGGTGAAGGTGAAGATTGACTACGGCACGATGGAGATGCCCGGGTACGAATGGGTGGACGGGGAGGTCGACATCTACTTCTCGTTGCTCTCCGACCAAGGATTACTAGACATGTTCGTGTCCTTGGAAAAGTGTTTTGGAAGTGGGGAAGATGAGTTTTCGTTACTTGCCGAGGCGTGCGAGGACGACGGGCCGGACATTGACTTCGTATTCTTGGAGCCGGGGCCCGATAGGGACGATTACTTTTATGCCTATATGTGCTGGTTCGAGGATCTCGGCATAAAGCTGCCCTTTGACGATTTTCAAATGGGGGTCCTTCGAGCACTAAACGTGGCGCCGACCCAACTGCACCCGAATGCTTGGGCGGCCATGCAAGCTTTTCGGAATCTGTGCCTTTAACTAGGCCTTACGCCCCGACCACTCACCTTTCTCTTTTATTATATTTGCCATCCTAGCAAACCGGTGAAGTGGGTTTCTTTGGCTCGAGTGCCGAAGCGTGGATTCTTGTCGGCGTTCACCTCGTCGTATAAGGGTTTTAAGAGTGGTTTCTTCAAAGTCCGTTGGGGGTCAGAAATGGAGAACTGTTTTTACGACCGAGAGGGATCTCCGCTGTTCCTTTTTTACTGGACGAAGCATCCGACGTGCTTTGAGGCGATGTCTGCATCGAAGCTCCCTGCCGAGGACAAGGAGATCGTGGACCTCCTTAACCAATTGCCGAAGGGGCTGCCAGTCCGAGGCCTCCTAGACATCTTTGAAACTTCAAGTTTTGAGTTTGCCTTGTTAGGTATGTGTTTTAGGCTTCGGTAACAAAGTAGTGTTTTGAATTGATGTTAAGACTTGTTTTATTGCAGGATTAATGGCCGGCCACGACTTCGACGTGACTGCAATGCTCGCGAACCGAGCAAAAAATGCTCGGACTAGTGGGAAGGTGTCGCCACTGAGGTCAGCCTTGAGGGTTCAACAGAACAAGCCTTCTAACGTGGTGATTCCCATGCCCGACCCCAAGAAGAAGGCCGGAACGTCTCGGGTGCGTCCCTCCGATCAGAATATAGAAGTGGAGCGTCCGAGCTCGTCAATGAAGCGTCAAATGCAATCGACCTTGGAGTAGTCGGGATGCGGCGCGTTTGCCATCCCGGCTGTGATGGCCGGCCACAACTTCCTGGTGTCGAACGTACAAACCGAGAACTTAGTCAGTCTGTACCTTACCACCGGCGGAGGGCTTCAATATTTGGAGGACATGTCCTTAGAGGTCGAGTACAAGCTCTTTTGTGAGCTTGATGCTCGAACCTCTCTACTTGCCAAGCACGTTATGATGAGGTCGGCCATCTCAGAAGAAAGGCTCTAGGGGCGGCTCAAGGAGGCCGAGGTGACATTGAAGGAGGCTTTGAGTGCCAACGCAAAGGCTACGGAGTCGGTTGAAGAACTGAAGAGGGCTACCGATGCCCACCGAAGGGAGGCCGACGACTTGAAGTTGGTAGTCTAGAAGACAAAAATCGAGGCCACTGCTGCTGCCGCTGAAATTGCTCGGCTGAATGAGGCCGCTGCCAAATTCAAGGCTGAGGCCATGGAAAAAATCTTGGGCCAACATGACGTCGGCTTCCAACATGCCGTTTTCCAGGCCCTCTACTTCTGTGAGGTCCCGGTTGACTTTAATTTTGATGTCAACCGGGATTTCTATGGTGGAAAGTTTATAAGCTACGCTGAATTCCCACAAGGGGCCCAGCCTGACGAAGAGGCCCCTCGGCGAGGCATTTCCACCCAGGCCCCAGTGCCGCCGACCAGGGAGGAGGAACCGATTATTGATGTGGTCGGCGATGGGAACCAGGAGGGCTCGGGAGCGGTATAGGGGGTCGGCTCTGGTAGTAGTAGGTTAGGGTTAGGATTTTTTGCTTTCCTTGTAACCGGGCCGTTAGTGCCTTTTGTAACCTTGGCCATTGGTGTCGGTATAATTTGGATTTTTTTGTGTAAGTAGCCGAACTGGTCGGCCATACTTTACTGATTATTTTTAATGGAATTTTTTTTACTTCAGTTTATAACCGAATTGTGTTTTTGGCCGAAAAGGGCAATGAATTTCATGTTTGTCATGGATTAGTAATTGGCGTGAGTGTGTTCGGTGTCGGAACGTTGGAGCACGCGATAGTGCCTGGTCGTAGCGTGCTCGGACTTCGAATGTTGGATCACGCGAGAGGGCACGGTTCACGTGCGCTCAGCTTACTCCTATGTTGGATTACGTAATTTGACGCGAATTGTGGACATACGAGTGGTTGGTTCAAGAGTGATCGGCCTGGGCGTGCTCGGCCTTGGGGTGTCGGGTCGCGATTCAATACGTGTTGGGAGTGCGTGTTTTGGCCGAAGTCAGGTATCATGTACTACCCAAAGAAGTGTGTCGATGATGTAGTATTCGGTCTAGGCATTTTCTTAAACGAAGGGGAGTACTCGGTGAGGAAAATCTGTAGGGCTCGATTGCACATGTAAGTGGTTGACCGAGGACTGCTCGGCGTCGTCGCGTGTCGTAGTGCTCACCTTGGTACATCCTTAGCCGAGGAGGGTACTCGGCGGGGAAACCTGTGGGGCTCGAGTGCACGTCGTTTGAATGGTCGGCCGAGTATTGCTCGGCATCGGCGCGTGTTGTGCTCAGCCTAGGTACATCCTTAGCCGAGGGGGGTACTCGGGAGGGAAACCTGTGGGGCTCGAGTGCACGTCGTTTGAATGGTCGACCGAGTATTGCTCGGCATCGACGCGTGTCGTGGTCAGCCTAGGTACATCCTTAACTAAGGAGGGTACTCGAGAGGGAAACTTGTAGGGCTCGAGTGCACGTCGTTTGAATGGTCGACCGAGTATTGCTCGGCGTCAGCGCATGTCGTGGTCAGCCTAGGTACATCCTTAGCCGAGGAGGGTACTCGGGAGGGAAACCTGTAGGGCTCGAGCGCTCGTCGTTTGAGTGGTCAGCCGAGGATTGCTTGGCGTAAGCGCGTATCGTCCGAGGTCAGACCTGCATGAACGCGACCTAAATGTATATATATAGTAAAACAGGGAATGTAGTGATCAGTATTCAAAAATTGTATTAATAAAGTGCCTCATTAAAAACCTTCCTGACCCAAAACCCTCCTTAGGGAAAAAAGAGTCGGCCAAGGAAAAGAATGCACTATTACATCAACTGTAATACATCTTTAAGTGTGTGGAGTTCAAAGTCCTAGGAATAGGTTCTCCTGGCAGGTATTCTAGCTTGAATGCTCCGTTGTTTAGGTTGTGTCGGACTCGGAAGGGTCCGTCCCAATTTGGGGCAAGTTTTCCTTGTCTCGGATCTTTTCTTGCTTCGCCTGTGGCTCTCCAAACAAGATCTCCCTCTCGATATTCTCTAGGCTTCACCTTGCTGTCGAATCTTCTCTTGTAGCGTTGCTTGGTGGCCTCGGCCACCACTAGTGCTTGGTCTCGAATCTCTTCCACGACGTCCAAGTTTACTCGGAGCTTGGCTTCATTGTTTGACTCGTCGAAGTGGGCTCGGCGGAATGAAGGCTCCCCAATTTCCACTGGGATCATTGCGTTGGACCCATAGACTAAGCGGAAGGGGGTTTCTCGTGTAGTCGACTGGGGTGTGCACCTATAGGCCCACATCACTTCGGGCAATTGCTCGGCCCATGCTCCTTTTGCTTCTCCTAGCCGCTTCTTAAACTCTGCTAGGATGACTTTATTGGCGGACTCGGGCTGACCGTTCGTTTGTGGGTGCTCGACCGATGTGACTTTGTGCTGTATTCCTAGGCCGGTTAGGAACTCGTTGAGTTTTTAGTCAGTGAATTGAAGGCCGTTGTCGGTCACCAGGGTATATGGGACCCCGAACCGGGTGATAATATTCTTCCACAAGAATTTCTGGACTTGATGAGCCGAAATGAATGCCAAGGGTTCGACTTCAATCCACTTGGTGAAAAGGTCCACGGCGACGATGAGGAACTTGCATTGTCCCTTGGCAACCGGGAAAGGTCCAAGTATGTCGGCCCCCAATGTAGCGAATGGCCATGCTGGGGGAATGCAATGTAGTTGCTCGGCCAGTTGGTGGATCAAGTTGCCGTGTTTCTAACATGGTTGACACTTCACAAATGTGGCGCAATCAGTGTTCATGGTCAGCCAATAGTATCCAGCTTGTAAAAGTTTGGAAACGGTCATTCTCGCTCCGGAGTGCATTCCACAAATGCCCTCGTGAACTTCTCGCATCAAGTAATCAACCTCGGTGGGGTCTAGGCACTTGAGTAGTGGAGTAGAGAAGCCACGCCTGTATAACAGATCGGCGATGACTACATATCTGCTGGCCTGCGTTCTCAACTGTTTGGCCTCGGTCGGGTCAGCCGGAGTGACCCCATTGGTGATGAATGCCTTGATTTCGACTCGCCAGTCTGGGGGGTCGCTCTGATCGGTGTGGTCGACGTCGATGCTTGCTACCACTTCCGTTTCGACACTAGGGTGGTCGATTTCTTGCTGAATGATGGTTCTTAACTGGCCCGACTTCTTGGTCGCAGCCAACCTAGCCAACTGATCGGCTCGGGTTTTGTCCTCGCGCGGGATGTGCTCGACCAACACCTCTTGAAAGTTCGCCTTCAATTTTTGATAGGCATGGTAGTACTTCATCATGTTGTGGTCTTTTACTTGGAAGTTACCGCCGCCCACTTGCTCGGCCACAACCTTGGAATCGGTTAGGCATTTGATTCTTGACACACCCATGTCTTCGGCTAGCCTGAGTCCGGCCAATAGGGCTTCATACTCGACTTGGTTGTTCGAAGCCTTGAACCGAAAGCGGAGAGATTGTTCCAAAGTTATCCCTTTGGGTCCCTCTAGAATGACCCCTGCCCCGCTGCCCTGGCAGTTTGAGGAACCGTCCACGTGGAGGGTCCACCAATGCTCTTCGAAGTGGCCGTGCGGGTGGAGTTCATTTATAAAGTCTGCTAGGCATTGGGCTTTGATTGGTCCTCTCGGCTTGAAGGTGATGTCAACTTGACAGAGCTCCACCGACCAAGCCATCATTCTTCTGACGAGTTCAGGTTTGCCTAAGACCTTGGAGATCGGGCAGTCGGTATGTACAACTACTCGGTGGCTCTGGAAATAATGCTGCAGGCGTCGGGAAGTGTGTACTAAACCGAGCGCCACTTTTTCTATCAATTGGTAACGGGTCTCGGAATCTTGTAGGAGTCGGCTGACAAAATATATGGGAGCTTAGGTGCCTTCATTTTCTTGCACCAAAACTGAGATGATCACCTCCTCGGACACAGCCAAGTATACCAGGAGCGAGCTCGAAGGGTCAGGTCTCGTGAGGGTCGTCGGCGTCGCCAAAGTCGTCTTCAAGCCTACAAAAGCCTCTTCACACGCCTCGTTCCACGAGAAATCCGAATTCTTTCGTAGAAGCTTCGTCATAGGGTTGATTTTATCGGCCAGGCGAGGGAGGAATCTGGACAAGGCAACCAACCTCCCGGACAGCCGCTGCAGTTCCTTGAGGTTGCTCGGGCTTCGCATATCTAACACGACCTGGAACTTGTCCCGATTCGCTTCTATTCCTCTCGATGATAACATAAACCCCAAGAATTTGCCTCCTTTGACCCCGAAAGTGCACTTTTCAGGGTTCAGCCTCATGTTGTGCTTGCGTAATTCACCAAAGATCTCAGCCAGGTCTGATAGGTGGTCGGCCACCGAGTTGGATTTCACCACCATATCGTCTACATATATTTCAATGTTACGCCCTATCTGCCCCTAAAACACCTTGTCCATCAACCTTTGGTAGGTCGCTCTGGCATTTTTCAATCCGAACGGCATGACTTTGTAACAAAAGTTGGCGTTCTCGGTGATGAACGCCGTCTTTTCCTCGTCGGCCAGGTACATCTTTATCTGGTTGTAGCCGGAGTAGGCGTCGAGGAAGCTGAAGATGGAGTGCCCGGACGCACCGTCGACAAGTCAGTCAATGTAGGGGAGTGGATAGGCGTCCTTGGGGCAGGCTTTGTTGAGGTCGGTGTAGTCAGTGCACATTCTCCACTTTCCACTCATCCCCCATTTTTCTCTTCTTTTGGGCAACTGGCCGAGCGTCTCAACATATGGCAAGCCGATGGCAAAGGAATTTCGGGTATATTCCTGGCATATCTGACGCCGTCCATGCGAATAGGTCCTTGTTGTCTCGAACCGCTCGTTTCACCTGGTTCGAATCGGCTTTGCTTAGTTGGGATCCCATGTGCGTGACCTGTTCTGGTGCTCGGCCAAGTTGAAAAGGAATGAGGTCCTCAGCAGGCTCAATTTGCTCTTCTTTTCCTAACCGAGGATCGAGGTCAATGCCCTCCGTCATCTCCTGTCTGACCATATTCACACCTTTCGTTGTCATCGGGGGGTCGGCCATAGGTCGTACCTTTAAACTAGAAAGGTAACACTCTCTTGCTATCTTCTGATCGGCGTGAATGGTTATTACCTGCCCGTCTCTCGACGGAAACTTCATGCATAAGTGAGGGGTTGAGACAATGGCCCCCAGTGCATTGATATAGGGTCGGCCTAGCAAGATGTTGTACGACGTACTTGCATGCACCACAATGTAACGAATTTTGATCTCGCGGGAAGACTTTTGGTCGAAGCCGAAGCGAGTGAATAGATCAATGGATCCCCTCGTCATCACTCTTTCACTTGAGAAGCCTACCAGTGATTTGTGGTACGGTTCTAGCCTTTCCTCCAGGATCCCAAGTTGCACAAAAGTGTTCCAATACAAGATGTCGGTGGAGCTCCCCTGGTCAACCAAGGTTTTCTTCACAATGCAGTTATGCATTTCAACCAAAATCACCATCGGGTCGTCCTGGACAGGATCGACGCCTCGGAAATCTCGGTCGAAAAAAGTAATTGGCGGCATCTTCGGGGCCTTCAATTGATTTACGCTGTTTACCGATCGGACAGCTCAGAGGTGTCTCTTCCGTGCCGAAGAGGTGGAACCTCCCCCAGCGAAGCCTCTGGCTATGGTGTTTATTATCTTCCTTGGTCGGTCAGTTTCTTCCCGGGAATGTCGTGAGTGGTCCCTTCTCTCAGCTGATCGGGATCAGCGGCGTCGGTTTCTCGGAATTGGAGCTTCCCGAGAGTGGTGGTCTCTCCTTGATTGGTGAGCAGGGGATGTGAAGAAGTTCCCGAGGTGACGTTGCTTGATAAGGTCCTCGAGCTTGTCTTTCAGTGCCGAACATTCTTCCGTCGAGTGCCCCCTGTTTCGGTGGAATCGGCACGTTTTAGTTTTGTCCGCCCTAGGGGGAGTGTTCGCCCTTTTCGGCATTGCGAGGATCTCGTATGCGAGGGCCTGCTCCATCACCTTCGCCCTGCTCGCGTTGAGAGGAGTATACACTGGGTAGCGTGGCCCTCTCGGAGGACGAACATTGGAGGGTTTGACATTAGTCTTTCTTATCGGCTCTCGGCTAGATTCCTTTCGGTTGTAACCTTCTTCAACCTGGCCTGATTTCGGGTCTCCGCCAACTCCTCCATTTGCATATACTTCTTGGCTCGGCGTCGAAGATCGTTCATATCACCGGGCGGTTTCTTGCACAAGCTATTCACAAATGGCCCCGGCCTGAGGGCAGTGCTCAGCCGATCCATTGCCACGGCAGGGTTTAGGTCGCCGATCTCCATGGCGATCTTGTTGAATCGATCTTGGCCAGTCATGACGGGATTGTTCTCGGGGTTAGGGATCGGTTGAGTTGATGTTGATGGTCCTTTGTGTGTAACTACCATGTCTCGGTCTCAGTCGTAGAGTTCAAAGGGGCTGAAAACGTCTCTTCGACCCCACGGTAGGCGCCAAGTGTTCCTGTGTTAGGATACACACTTCAATTGTCCTTGTTGTAGCAGGTCTGGTCTTGAGTCTAAGTCTTCTCGTTCTTCTCCGAGTAGTCCGAAGCAGGGGGGTGCCTGCAAAGACACTCCAACGCTCAAGTAAGTGCTCGGCGTAATAAATGCAGTAGTTGAAAGTTAGTTACGTACCTCGTAGGGGTTCTATTTATAGTGACTCTTATTGGGACGCGATTAAGGACTGGGCCCCGGGAAATTAGGGGACTAATCCGGTGCATTACGTAAATTAACCTCTCCATAATTATCCTGGTGCAAATCCGTGACTTGGCCGAGCACACCGACACGTTCCGTTCAGATTGTGAGTGATTGGTGGGCTCGGGTATTCGGCCTGGTCGTCCACGGACTCAGGTGTTTGGCCTAGTCGGCCACAAACTTGGGTGTTCGGCCTAGTCGGCTACCAAGCGGTATAGAAACTAAAGAAAATACTACCATGCATATTAAGTGGTTTATACATAAATATAAATCATAATTGCTAAATATACAATAGAATTGTGTTATTATATGCTTCAGGCAAACATAATGTCGAACGCAGTTAGATTTATAGCCAATAAAAAATGTAAAGACAAAAGTGTAAGCAATAAACTTAAGTAAATCAATTTTAAGTTTTTTGTTCTTCAAAATATATGAAGCAAGAAATGTATTAGTTAATAAAGATATGCAGTACGTTAGCCAATAGTATATGCATTACGTTAATAAAGAAATGTATTAGATTTATAGCCAATAGTATATGCAGTTCGTTAATAAAGAAATGTATTAGATTTATAGCCAATAGTACATGTAGTACGTTAGTCACCAATAAAGATTGAGGATTACTATACCCTTGGAAGTTGGAATGAAGTTAGGTTCAAAATTTTAAAATATTAATATTTTTAATAAATTTATTATTAAATAATTATTTAATTTAATATTTTATAATTTAAATTAATTTTTTAAATGTTTGAAATACGTTTCAGGCAATTCAGTCAGAAAAAATAGAATTTTTCATAAAGATTATATATATTAGTTAATATATGAATTATTAATTCCAAATATTGACATCACAACATCTTGTCATGTTGCCTAGATTAAATTGGAAGTATCCTAAATTATTTATTCATTATCAGAAGTATCCTAAGTTGCATAGTGTAATAGTATAGAAGCCGGGCGACCAAAATGAGAAATTAATTCATAAATGAAATGTATAGGTGGATGAAGGTAGGAGATTTACAATGTGTTTGTTTTATCGTTAAAATTTCTCAAACGTAAGTTGAACAGAAAAAATAAAATTTAAAAAATATATTTTTACGTTTTCGTTAAAAAAACGGTTTTCCAAACACGTTCTTAATGTCCTATCACTGGTGTTTAGGGATGGCAAATAAACTCGTACCCTTCGGTAATACCCGAACCCGTCCCGACTTTGACGGGGAATACCCAGAGGCGATACTATCTTAGAGAACCCTTCAATGAACCTTCGATAGTAACCCGCTAAACCCACAAAGCTCCGAATATCAGTGACAGTCCTTAGACATTCCCACTGCAACACCGACTCCACCTTAGCTGAATCAACAACAATCCCCTTAGCTGAAATCACATGATCCAAGAACTTCACTTCATCCAACCAGAACTCACATTTTGAAAGCTTAGCGTACAGTTGCTTCGCCTTCAAATCTCCAGCTCCAGCCTCAAGTGCTCACCATGCTCTTCCGGGGTCCTTGAATAAATCAAGATGTCATCAATGAACACCACCACGAATTTATCCAAGAATGGCCAGAAGATCCTGTTCATGTAATCCATGAACACTGTAGGGGCGTTGGTCACACCAAACGGCATCACAACATACACATAGTGACCATACCTAGTCCTGAAAGCAGTCTTCGGTATGTGACCCTCCTTCACCCTAATCTGGTGATAGCCTGACCTCAAGTTAATCTTGGAAAACACAGATGCTCCCCTCAGTTGATCCATCAAGTCATATATCCGGGGAAGTGGATATTTGTTCTTAATGGTCAACTTGTTCAAATGGCGGTAATCAACACACAGTCGACTACCTCCATCCTTCTTTTTCACCAACAACACAGGAGCACCCCACGGTGATACACTCGGCCGCACCAACTATTTCTCCAACAGGTCCTCTAACTAACCTTTCAGCTCAACCAGCTCAGCAGGAGCCATCCTATAGGGAGCCACCGACA